TGATACATTTTTTTGCGAATTTAATTAGAGAAATAAAATTTTTGACTTTTATACGTTTTCATCATATCCATAGCCATTATTTGTACCATGTTGTACTCTATATAAGTGTGTATTTGTATTTATTGTACATTTGGTATTGTCGTATTGCCCCTTTAACATATTTGTTATATTGTCTCTTTATGATTTCATTTTCAAACAAGTTACCGAAAATGGCTACAAAATGTTTAATTTCAGAAAATGTTTCCACTATTCATTTTGGGACACATCCACTGATTTCTACAATACAGAAATGTTAACAGCAACGAAGCCTAATTGCGTCGAAGTGGGTGACATTGAACAGTGTAGTATGGTAGCTACAGCTCTCTGTCAGCTGCACCTTCAGCTGCACCTTCAGGGCCGGTTTTAGAATAAGAGAGGCCCTAGGCAAACCCCCTGAACAGGGCCCACGACATGGACCTTGGGGCCCTGGGACAAGCAACTCGGTGAGAGGGTGGGTCGGGGGAAGTCATGCGGTTCGTGGTTCGAATCTCACTTTTAGGTGAATTTTTCATTTTCATTGGATTATTTTATTTAAAATGTCTATTTGAGAGTAATGGATATGTTTGTTAAGATTGAGCATGTTTTGGATGTTGATGGCATGGCTCGAAATGTTCGTCTGTCTACTTGTCGCCGACAGGCGATTTTTTTGTCTGACAGGTAGCAAATAAAACAGGTGGACTAAATTTTACTTAATGTTCAGTAAATTGACCACGTACATTTAATTATTTGTTTCTAAATGCAAGAATTAAGCACGGAAATACCGCGAAAAGCCGCCATTTGCACTGTTTACATTTCGCTCTGTCGTAGGCTACAGTTATTCACACAGTTTGGGAGTAGACAATTTTATATCAATGAATTTCACACCATCTACGCTTGTTTTCATCTGCTTGACACTAGTTTATAGCATTATGGAGTATTATATCTAAATAAATTAAAACGCACCCCCAAGTCACCTGAAATGATTCTACCGTAATGACACCACAGTAAATATAGTAGTGGTTGGTATGGAAATGCATGCGGCTCGTTGCTTGGTGTATTTAATCATTTTAAAAGTTTTAAACAATTTCCATAAATAAAGGCTATGAATAATTTATAAGACAATTTGACAAAATCAAAAAATCAGGTCGGAAAAATATTTCATATATAAATATAATTTGCAGCGTAAATATAGTCCGGATATGTGAGAAGGGAATCCCAGGTGGCGTTATCTGTCCTTCGCACGTGGTAGATGTAAATACGGTGCCATGCACAGGTGTGATTTGTGTTTTGATATTCAATTTATTACAGATATTTTAAAATCTGAATTCTACAACTCAACGGTGAAGTATTCAATTTAGTACGGAGCCATAGCAGATTCGCCGACTTTGAAGAACTTTTAGGCAATCCGATGTCGAAGAAATAAAAAAGGTTTCATATTACGATATTTATATAGAGCAATGTACGTCAAAGACCTAACCACGTGCGTGTGTACCTACATGTATGGATATGTGTGATGTGATTAGTCTTTGAGTTTGATAATTGAGAGTGACGGGTTATTTACTGAAGCGACAGGTATGAAGAAAAGCTACCTGTCGAGGCCTGTGATGGTCAAGATGTTCTTTTGCGATACCTTCAAAGAGTTGGAGATAATCTATATACCTGGCCTACAGATCCAGAGGAGTCCTGGCAAAATATAAATGATCTTGTTTGCATCATGTCTGTAAAGAATTTATAATTTTTATTGAAATTTTTTTGAGCAAATTATTTCTTGTTTTGACAATGAAAGACAATAAAAAAATTAGTTGATTATATTGAAACATTAGAGTTTTTTTTCTACTTGTCACGCGAGTCACCTTTTTATGTCACGCAAGTCACCTTTTTATGTCACGCAAGTCACATACAAAACTTGACAATAAAACACCACATTGTAACAAAATGATGCTATGGCTCAAGAATTTAGCTTCACATACATATAAGTCATATTCCTCTATATTCTAATTACTTTTCTACTAAATGGGGGGTCAGTATCATTGCCCATGAATGCGCTGCAAATGCATGTCACACGAGTCACAACTCAATATGATCACATTGCACAAAATTTTGCCCAAGAAAGTAATATTTAAAGTGTTTCTCATGTAACACACAGAACACAAAAACTTTACTTGGGATTACAGTAGAATCTGTATGAGCAGCCACTCCTATTCAGCGACATCTCCTTGTAAGCGGTCACGATAAATTCCCCCCGTAGAAATTCTGTTTCATCTCTTTATTCAACGGTCACTCCTCTAACGCGGCCAGCGGTCACTATTTTACTAATAAATTCAACAAAACATCGCCCATTCAACGGCCATTGTTGAATGATACCTTCTTGTTGTTCTTTCTTGGTAACACTCCCGCTAATCCCTTGAGTAGTAGTTAATTAACTGGACCCCCACTGATCAGGTAAAAAGAAACGTAAAAATAACAATCAACCCGGGATTATCTGTTAATTAATCTTTTGTTTTATTAAACGACTAACCTGATCATTGTTTTCACGCGTAACGACACATTATTTGATACTGATTGAATAAAAGTACCGAGTTTTGTCACGATCATCTAGTATCTCTCTTAGCGCCTCCTATAATATTACATACAGAGTTACACCCCCTGTAAATAGGTGATAAAATTAGCGATGTTTTTTGTTCATGTGCTTTTTTGATAAAATAAAATGAATTCATCGATTTTCTTCACAAAAATGGATAAATATTATCGAATGCATCACAATGGTAGACAGTATCGAAGGTTGGTACAAAATGAAAAGTTTACAGAAGTTATGTTTGAGATTTGAGTAAAGAATTTTCGTCCGGCGCAAGATTCAGCTGCGGCCAAATTTACCGCTTCCAATGCGGCACAAAAAGCAACGAGATTTTATTAAGAGGCCACTCCCGTTAAGTTATGTCCGAGATTTGAGTAAAGAATTTTCGTTCGGCGCAAGATTCAGCAACGGCCAAATTTACCGCTTCCAATGCATCCAAGCGTAATATTTAATTTATGTCAGCACAAAAAGCAACGAGATTTTATTAAGAGGCCACTCCCGTTGAGCGGTCAGTTGTGAAAATTCATTTGGGTGGCTGCTTAATGCAGATTCTACTGTAGTTTTTATGGAAACTGATTATTAGGTTTCATGATATTCATATTTATTTAAAAATTTGTGTTGAGTAGAAATGTCACGCGAGTCACCGTGGAATGGCTGACATGTTTATAACCCAAAGATCGCAATTCCTTTCGATATTCGCGCATATCGGCCCGTGACTTCCTGAATTATGGCCCCTGATTGTACGAAAAATCACGCTTTTAGCTTGTGGACCCTAAAGCGATCGTAATTCTTATCCAATCTAAAAAAAATGTTTGAATATATCACCGTTATACCCTAAGGATGGTTGAGTTCGAATTTCATAAAAATCGGACCAAATTTTATTCTGATTTTGATGAAACTTGAAATGCATGCTTATAACCCAAAGATCTTGGTTGCTTTCGATATTCGTGCATATCGGATCGTAACTTCCTGAATTATGGCCCCTGATTGTTCGAAAAATGGCATTTTTAGCTTGGGGTTGCTCTAGAGGTCACAATTATTATCCGATTTAAAACACCGTTTGAATATCACCGTTACACTGTAATAAAGGTTGAGTTAGAATTTTGTGAAAATTGGACCAAAACTGCCAGAAAATATGGGCGCCCTTTGTACGCAAATTGTGGGCGCTGGTATATAAAGCTTGTGGACCCCTCTGTAGGTCACAATGTTTTGCCGATTTTGATGACTTGAAATGCATGTTTATAACCCAAAGATCTTGTTTCTTTTCTATAATCGTGTATATCGCATCATAAATTCCTAAATTATGTCCCCCGAAAGTACGAAAAATCATGATTTTACCTTGACTGAAAAACACTTTTTAATCCAATCTCAAAAAACATTTGCAGCAAGTATGACTTATTCTAAAAGCAGGCTTTACTCAATAACTTCAATCATTGCCCTAATTTGTTTAAAATTGTTTCATTACCAATTTTTATGGGGGTTAGGCATTTGCGTTACAAAAATTATGGTTTTTAGAATATTATGAGCAATACCACGTAAAAAGTCCAACACATGGTGAAAGTTGAACTTATAATGTCCAGTACACGCTCTTTTCAGTCTCCAGCTATTATCTGTTCCATAGTAACTTCTTGTAGATCTTAATGTTTCTTCAGGGAATCTAAAAACTTCCATATGTTGACATGTCAACCACTGACTGAAATCTGAAATCATCTGTGCCAACCTTCTATTAGTAAGTGCAGGGGGCTGCACCACACAAAATTTACACAAAAACAAATACACGAACAAGACATCATGCTCAGAAAAACACAAACAAGCAAACAATTAAAAAAATAATGGATCCGGGGGCTAGCCGTAAGCGTCCACTGCACTGTACAGTCCCGGGTCTGTAGTGACAGACTTCACTCAGATTTGAAAACAATCAGGAATACAACCCAAAGAAACCATTGTGTAATGCCAGCATGAGTCATGATCTGCTATATGCTACAAGAAATACGAATGCAAGCATATGTAGTAAAATTCAACTATACAACAAGTAACCACATCGGTGAAATGGAAAAAAAAAAAAATAGTCTAAATCTAAATCCTACAACAGTGATATTAAATTGTTTCTGAAATTTTGTCACACACGTAATGTTATGCACATGGACAAACAATACTTCATATTGATATAAACAATTGTTTGTCCATATGGGTTGACCTTTATGCAACATTATGAGTTAACTGCAAAAATCGTAACTTTACATGGTTTTTGAATTGTAACTCCATCCATCTCTTGCAAAATGTGGGTGTATATGCCTAGCAAATGCTGTTTGACGGGGGTCAGTTTCCCACCACTGGTCCACTTCGACATGGAATGACCCTCTTGCATTATTTTGAAAATTTGGTTTGAAATGAATGTTATTTTTAGACAAATGGTTGCCCGAGGATTATTGGATACCTTGAGGACTGTAGGTGACAATGAAGATGATTGCAAATCGGTATTAATGGCAATGACAAAACTTTCAGAGGATTCAGGTTAGAAACAGTAAATTTATTATCGAGGACACCAATCTGATTAAAATACAGATCTATATTTCTTTTCGGTTTTTTGTCCCCCGCCTTTAGTTGAAAGCACGGGACTATTAAAATGGGTTTGTCCGTCTGTCCGTCTGTGGGTCCGTCTGTCCGTCAGTCACACTTTTTGGGACACAATAACCCTTTCTAATTGAGCAACAATGTTCAAACTTGGTGTGGGTGTTTATTAGGGGAATGCCTTGATGGAGTTCGAAGATGAGCATTTTCTGCTTAGGGTAAGCAGAGATAAGCAATTTGATGGTTGATGCTCCTAGACACAATAACTTTTGTTCTAATGAAGTGTGTGATGAAACTGGGTGTATAGTTTCATTACATCAATACCTTGACTAAGTTCGATAATGGGCAATTTCTGCTCAGGGTAAGCAGAGCGGTAAGCAATTTGATTGGCTGAGACTTTGGAACACAATAACTCTCCCAAGCCTTGAAATAACTGCTAAGGTTCAGCCTGACATCATGTCAGGCTGAACTGATTTTCGGCCGGACATTTCAGATTTTCAGCCTGACAAATACTTTATAAAGTATATTAAACCAAAAAACTGTTGAAATTTACTATGTTTATATATATTATTATACATACATTTATTAATAAAATAAATTGATGACTCACATACAACCTGGAGTTTTAAGTTTTTATATGTATATGGAATACAACTTTATAGTTCATATAATAATGTCATTAATCTCTTTGGTGGGGCTGGGGACTAAATCCTAAAAACTCTGATTAAGATTCAAATTTAACTAAAGAATAGACATCTTGAGTTGTCGTAAATGGTTCAGAATCTGCCAAGTCATTTTTGATCCACTTTTCTACGGTTCGTGTTTGTAATTTTCGAACTGGTGACGGCGACGGCCCCCGTTTAGAAGTGTCTTTATGAGAGACATAAGACACAGTACCAGTCTTTGAATTTTCTGGAACGGTCCCACTAGCCGGGATATCCGTTTCCGAGGGTTGGGAAAAGTAAGAAGTTATTTTATTCGACATATTTTCACGGCTCTTCTATTTACATTCACATTGGAAGTGTCCAACAAAGTGAGATATTTTCGTATAAAAAGTCTGTCCCTAATTACATCCATAGTCAACTTGGACATTTTCTTGTAAACTAATTTTAAAATATTATTACTTTTATTACTAATAATTTATATAATTACATGTCATGTTAGGTGTGATTTAGAGCTAATCATATACGAAAGTAACGCAAAGCTAGCTACGAGACTCGAATAACCAGTGTAAAAGAGCCGATTCTCAATATTATTCATTATTTTATCTTCACGCGGCCGAGAGAGATACATGTATAAATAGTAATATTTTTACTATGACTCGGGTCGTTGATATAACCAGCGTAAAAGAGTCGATTCTAAAAATTATTGAAGATTTTATCTGCACGCGGCCGAGATATAAATAGTAACATTTTCACTATGACTCGGGTCATTGATATTTTTGGTTCTGGACTTTCGAGTCTAATAATAAATAGCGATCGACTCGAATATTTTTGACTTAATGTTTTACAAAAACACGGTCGGACAATTATGTCCGGACGAAAGGCAATTTGGCCTGTCAAAAGGGGTCAATTCGCCCGGACATTGTCCGTGTCCGGACGCTTATTTCAGCGCTTGAACTCTCCTAATTGAGCTAGAACGTTCAAACTTGGTGTAGGTGTTTATTTGGTCAATGCCTTGAGGCAAAAGTTATACAATGTTCAAGATAAGACGAGGAAGTCTGTTGATTTTTATAAGGCCAAATTTTCATGTTGACGTATTATGCCATTGTCCGTCCGTGTGGACACTATATAGCAGGGGTTGAACTGTTTGTAAAATTTTACTTGTCTCCGGTGACAAGTAGAAATATTTCTTGTCACTTGGTCATTTCAAGTTGTCACCATTAATTTTTATACGCCCACATTGAAATGTGGTCGTATATTGTCGTCACGTCCGTTGGTCTGGCGGTCCGGCGTCCACAAGCAATTTAGCCTTAACTAGAAGTTAAAGTTAAATTTATACACAGTGTTTATGGTTGTGAGACGAAGAAGCCTTTTGATTTTCAACGATTTCTGATAATTATTGCCAGAGTTATGGCCCTTAATCACTTCAAAAAATTTTGTGGACGCACTAGAGGCTAAAGATAATATCCGATTGACTTTAAATTTATACACAGTGTTTAAGGTCATGAGACGAAGAAGCCTATTGATTATGAACGATTTCCAATAATTACTGCCAAAGTTATGGTCTTCAGATTGATACAGAGTTTAAGGTCTTTTGATAACTTGAACAGCTAAATCCATGATATTAAATGTTTCTTATACTAAACGTTAGTATAGGGCAGAACTTTATAAAAACCAAACAAATTCTAATGATTTTCTGATAAATTACTTTATGAGTTGTTACTCTCAATCAGTTTTTATACGCCCACATTTTCATGTGGACGTATTATGCCGTCGCCCTTGTCCGTCCGTCTGTCCACAATTGTTTGTGGACTCTCTACAGGTCAAAATTCTTATCCGATTTCGACAAAATTTGAAATATAGGTTTATCCCCAAAAGATCTCGGCTGCTTTCGATATTGGCATGTATCGGATCGAATTTTCATGGATTATGGCCCCTGTTTGTTCGAAAAATCACGTTTTTAGCTTGTGGACCCTATAGAGGTCACAATTTTTATCCGATTTTGTTGAAACTTGAAATGTAAGTTTATAACCCAAAGATCTCAGTTCCTTTCGATATTTGCGCATATCGGACAGTAACTTCCTGAATTATGGCCCCTGATTGTACGAAAAATCACGTTTTTAGCTTGTGAACCCTATAGAAGTCATAATTTTTATCCGATTTAAAAAACCGTTCTATTATATCTCCGTTACACCCTAAGGATAACTGAGTTCGAATTTCATGAAAATCGGCCCAAAATTGACAGACAAAATGCCCGCCGTTCGTTCCCAAATAGCGTAAGAATATGGTATATCAAGGTTGTGGACCCTATAGGGGTCACAATTTTTATCCGATTTTGTTGAAACTTGAAATGTAAGTTTATAACCCAAAGATCTCGGTTCCTTTCGATATTCGTGCATATCGGACCGTAACTTCCTGAATTATGGCCCCTGATTGTACGAAAAATCTCAATTTTAGCTTGTGGACCCTATAGAAGTCATAATTTTTATCCGATTTAAAAAACTATTCTATTATATCACCGTTACACCCTAAGGATGACTGAGTTCGAATTTCATGAAAATCGGCCCAAAATTGACAGACAAAATGGCCGCCGTTCGTTCTCAAATAGCGTAAGAAAATGGTATATCAAGGTTGTGGAACCTATAGAGGTCACAATTTTTATCCGATTTTGTTAAAACTTGAAATGTAAGTTTATAACACAAAGATCTCAGTTCCTTTCGATATATGAGCATATCGAATTGTAATTTCCTGAATTATGGCCCTTAATTGTAGGAAAAATCACTTTCTTGTTAGCTTGTTATCTATCCATCTCTCGAAAATGTGACGTATCCTGCCTGGCAGCCGCTGGTTAGTGTATTTGTTTCATTACTAAAAAAAAGTAAAAATATGCGACAACTCTTTTTTTTGCGATCACGTGGGTAAGACGCTGGCTCGCTAGCCTGGAGGTCGGGTGTTCGATCCCTGCATTGGCTGAGAAAGTTCATCCAGATTTTCCAGCATGGATTCCCCCTTGTCAGTGATGCAGGACGGAGGGCCTGACAAGGACAGCTGTCTAGTCAGGTCCCATGTACACATTGGCGTGCACATAAAAGATCCCTTGGCAGTTGAAATTGGATATAAGAGTAGGCCGTAGTGCCGCTGCTCGGGCAAAATTTCCCTCATAGCACACTGTATGCCTGTCTTCATTAGCCCAGTCTAGGAGCAGAACAGTAGCATGTTAAACCCCATTTCATCTCATCTCATCGCGACAACTCTTGTTGAATGCCCAGACAGTTTAGCTGCTGTGGGCATGTTTCGTTGCCTGCAACCTATCTTGTTTTTGATTAAAAGAATAACTTGCTTTATTTCAATTGCACTTAGATGCTTACATGTACAATCAGGATCAGCATTCAGTTTTAACACATTTTGGCGGAGCTAATGAAACAAATGACTGACCGTTTTTTTGTTCACTCGAATATTCACTATTTGACTCCTTCATTGTTCTTAACGTTTCCGACCAATCGAGATAATATAATTTGAAACAATATCCAATTGGGCATGCTTGTATATTCCATGCCAAAAGAAGCCGCAGTAAATGGAATAACAAAAATATTTAATTCTTTGGAAAGAATTGTTCATTTTTCTTTTTTTGGGGGGGTGGGGGGGGGGCGGGGGGAAGAGGAAGACAAAACCAAACTGCAAATAATTGGCTTATTTATCCCTTCACTATGGGTATTGTCCATTGTCAATACTGCACTTGACTTACATGTATAATCAATATGCATTATTATGTATGATAAAACAATGTAGACCAGACATCAGTTGGTTTCAACTTCAATTTCTTTAGAATTCGCTGGTAATCATAATTAAGGGACGTAGAGACCTAGGGAACGAATTGTCCAGAGATGAATTGTCTTTGGGGACAAATAAACCGGGGACAAATAAACCGGGGCCGAATAGTCATACGGAACGAATAGTCCTAGGGGACTAATTATCCATGGATGAGTTGTCTGGGGACGAATAGTTCTTAACGGTACAGTTAATGATAAAGCGATTTAAAAAATGAAACGAACGTAGTTTCTAAATCTGCTGTAATAACCAAGAAGCTTAATTTCTCTCCTATTCAAAATCGTCGACAATAATTTTTTTACGGCTGTAATAGTTGATAGATTTGTAGAGAATTGCACGTGCCATGGCAATTTATAGTATCATACTGTCAGAAAGTTGGTCTCGCCACGGCGAATGTGCACGCTTCAGTGGTAGTCTCGAACTATCAGCGGTGGACTGTTTTTCTGTAGAGTA